TCATCTTCACTGACTCTTTGATCTGCTGAATCTTCAGTCGTCTCTTCTGGATCATCTGCTGAATTTCAGCCTCTGTCTTCTCCAGCTCTGCCTTCTTTCCTTCATATTCTTCTCTCAGAGGAACAAACTCATGGTTCTTGGGGTCTGAAATAGAGCAGCGTGCACAGACATGTGTGGTTGGTGTTACAGAACAGCTCCAGAGGTTTATCGTGCTTCTTACACATTCTGCCCTCCAGGTTCTCCACAGCATCAATCAGCTGATGTCTTTTCAGGCCTTTCTTTGTCAGATGAGGCTCCAGGTGAGTCTGACAGTAGGACTCCTGACACACCAGGCAGGACTTCAGGGCCTTCAGTCTGGTTCCAGTGCAGATGTCACAGGGAACTTCTCCTGGTTTGGTAGCTTGTTGCTCTGAGCTGCTGCTGCTGACTTTCTGCTGAACTTCACATTTGAACTGAGCGACCATCTCAGAGAGCAAAGTGTTGACCCTCAGATGAGGTCTAGTGTTGAAAGTTTCATTACACATGGGACACTGACACCTCTTATTCATGTCCCAGTACTCAGTGATGCAGTTTTTGCAGAAGTTGTGTCCACATGGTGTGCTGACTGGATCAGTGAACACATCCAGACAGATGCAGCAGACATGTCTGCACTCTGACGGAGAAAGAAAAAGAAACACTTTTTTTTTTAATTCACAAAAAAAAGAAAAGAAAAAAGTGTCAGGTTTGTACTCTTTACATGTGTCGGTCAGCAGTTAGAGTTACTATCTATCTACTGCGATAGGATTTATATTCCTGTAAAAAGCAGAGTGATGAGCAATGACCAAAACTGCAGGTGAATATAAAAAGTGTGTAAATCTCCAAAATGACTCCATGTAGTCACCTGAGGTGACTGGCATATTATCAACCTCTGATGGTTCTTAAATAATGTGTAAAGTACTTTCTGGTCCCAACAATTTAATAGCAAAATCTACAAAAGTTTAACTTATCCTTCTTAATTAAATTTTTTTAGAGTGTTACAAACTATAAACGTTTCCTTCTCTGTGTTATATTCAGAGTACACATCCATTAGTTTATTTGATGTGTGACATACTTTTATAACATACCACTTTACAATAAATAAATGTTTTTCAAATTAAAGCACATATTTATTTTGAAAATGACTCAGAACATTTTATTAAGGATAAAGGAAGCAGACAATAACCTTGTGTTCTTCTGTGATGTTAGTGTTGGATGAAGGGAGCAGTATCCTGTCGGCAAAGGATCAAATGCAAACACATGACACTACAGAATGAAGTGAATGTGAGCCTTTAATGGCTCATGCAAACAGGAAGAGTGGATAATAAAAGCCAGAAGAGTCAAGAAAGGAGTAATTAAAAAGAAAACACAGCATGAAACATCACAGCAACACTGATGAGGCTACTT